ACACACACACACACACACACACACACACACACCTACTATGTCTCTATCCTTGTGGAGATTTTCCATTGACTTCCATTCATTTTTTCAAAATTTTATATCCTAACCCTGACCAATTACCCTAAACATAACCTCACAGGTACAAACCTGACCCTTACACTCTGAAGTCATGGGGGACGGGCTTGGTCCCCACAAGGAGCATCCGGTCCCCACAAGGCTGCATTTTCCTGAAAAATTGCCCCCACCAAGTAGCAAAAACAAGGGCACACACACACAAACCTCCTTGTACTTGCATCAAACTGAGGATTTTGTATTGACTTTATTCATTTTTGTAAATGTATCCATGCCTAACCCAGACATTTTCCATAATCCTAACTATTACTAGTCTATTCCTAACCTAGTCTGGTTCAAACCAGACCCTATCCTTCACTTTGCTTCGTACAAGGGTCTGGACTTGATGCAAAGAGAAGTGATTCTTGCAGGAGGCGTGGCCTCTGCTGAAGCATGTATGTGTTGTCACTGTGACGGAGGCTAAGCTAAGAAGCTAACCGGAAATCACGTGTGCTGTAAACAACCCTACTGAGAGGAGAAATATACCGAGCCAAACGAGATGACTGTGAATGAGAGCTGCTGCTTTGTCAGACAAATTTAATGTAATTTGGAAGCCTTATCAACACAGACTGGCTTCATTCACTTCCTCCACTGTCATATGCTAAAATAACTAGCAGACACTGTGTAGAACATCGATGTCGTTCAAAACTCCACCTTCTGTTCTCTGATTGGCCCAGGTAAAATAAACTACAAGCAGACACTGCGCAGAAAATTGAGGTTCTGTTCTCTGATTGGCCCAGGTAAAATAAACTACAAGCAGACACTGCGCAGAAAATTGACGTTCTGTTCTCTGATTGGCCCGGCCAAAAATCTGGCAGCGAAATCCATCTCAATGGGAGAAGTCCCAGATGGAGCAGTGAAGGGAAACTAGAAGTGAGCAGAGCTGCGTAGGAAGGCAAGGGCCAGGCTATTCCTAACCCTAACCTGAACCAAAACTTAATTCACACCATACCTCTAAACCTAACTAGTACAGTGCAGTAGAGCTGCAAAAAGAAATGAGGGCCAGGAAAAGGTCCTCACTCTGTTAGTTAAAAATATATGACGGTCCTCAGTCTGTAGCAGAAACACACACACACACACACACACACACACACACACAC